AGATTATAATCACAACAGAAAATCTTGTTTTCTTTATCCAGCTTGTCGATGCCATCCAATTGGATCGATCGTTCGTCATGACTGTGACCGAAGAAGTGGACAGTGCCGGTGCAAACAAGGGGTAGCTGGCTTAACCTGCGATCGCTGCCAAGATGGATATCACCAAACCCGCTCGCCACTTAATCCTTGCACAAAAGGTAAGCAGTAAATATTTCTGTTAGTCTGATTTTTCCTTTTCTGTTTCTTTCATTCAAAATTGGTTTCCCCTACAACACTAGAAACAGACTGAGGTGGTTTCCAAGTATACTTTGGTCTTCGATTGGTTTTTTCATCACGAAAATGGCATTGAAGCTGATTTGTTTCACAAGGCCATAGATATAAGGAACGTCATCCTGTTCATCTGAAAATGATTTTGCATTGAGTTATAACCCTTGATTATTCCATAGTGAACTCATCGTAACTGATGTAACTTCTATTTTCCAAACCAAAGCATAATATTTTGTCGAAGAAATGAAACAATTTTAAAGATATCATTATGTACCACACATATATATGTCTATCTGTTGAATGTTATGAAATCTTAGTAAGTGCAAAAAAAACCTGTTGAGTTGTAGAGTGAGGAAGATTTGCTGTCGTGCACCCATCGCTGTAAAAGTGCTGTGCGAAAATTCTTCAATACAGGGTTGTTCTTACTAGGTTTTGTATAAAAGTATTCAGCTATGTAGTTACTTATTTTCAACAAAAGTGCTGCTTGAAGTTAAAAAACATTTAAACCGCAATCGACTCATAATGAACGATCTCTCCGTTACTGTCAATATCTACTATATGACTCTGAAACATGACCATCTTTTTCTGGTCAGCAGGAACTTCAAACATAAAAAAACATTGTCACACATGGCCTCCGTTGACTTCAACTCATTGGATGACACAGATAGACCATATTGCCATCACTTATATTTAGAGATGGTTGGTGAAAGATTACCTCTCTTTCTGGAGGACGTGTTTGAAAAGCGATCATGTTTATGTGTGTGCCGTAATGTATGTCGGAAAACTGCAGGAGCAAGACCATTGCTAGTGCTGACTGGTGATGAGAATGCTAAGGTTGTTTTCCGAATGAGGCTGTTTAGACAGTCAACATTATTCATACTACAGAAGGCAGGTACTATCTCCAATCTGCTGGAAAAACAGCGTTGATGACCATGGCTGACTCTCAGACAAAGGTTCAAAAGGGCTGGTGGTTCTCAGTAGCTTCCTCTGAATTAATGGAGTTACATGGATGCACTCCAGCATGTTTGGAACACAGTGGGGAGTGGATGCAATTCAGATGAAAATTGGAAAAGGTTTTATGCTATAACCACAGACACTGATGGGCGTCGACGGCTGAATAGACGGAGGAGGCCACATTGAGGTAATAGCAGAGAGTTATTCAGATTTATCAAAGATATTTTGTCGAAAAGGTCAATGGTTGGTTGGATTTTGACAGAAAAGGTTGAATCTGAGACCCAGCCACAGAGGAGATGATCGAAACGATGGGCGAAGTACTTTCAGAAGCAGTTCAGCTGGCTTCTAGCTATCATTCTGTCGGCTACTATCCAGTCGGCTTCTGAACAGAATGTTGACGTAAGACCACCAACACTTGCGGATGTTGATGGAGTTGCAAGTACTCTGAGACTAGGAAGGACAGAAGAACCAGACAAACTCGTACAGGAGGTTTACAAGAGTTATTAAAAAGGGCTATTAGTCAGACTGAAGCGTTAGCTACTGTATGGAAGCCAGAAATGATCTCCTCTGGTTGGTCTTAATCACCGATTGTCCGAAAATTTAAGGGAGACGAGATGTCTTCTTGTGATAACCACCCAGAGGAATCGGCCTGATGAAAACAATGTCTAAGATTCTAGTTTCCGTAATCATTAGACGTCGGAAACAGCAAACCCCCAAAAAACTAGGGAGGATTCAGACCTAGCCATGGGGTGTATCTACCAGATGTCCATATTACTCCGGGTTCTGGAACACAAGCACACTTGCCAATGCCTTACACTAGCCATAATTTCCAACCCGAGGGTGGGGTTCGACCCCGTTAATCCAGAGGTCTTATATCAGTATCTCTTGCTGAAAAGAGTACCAACTAGGTGCATCACTCTGTTGAAGGCTCCGTATTCAAATACCCAAGAGGATGTGAGAGTCTATAGAAAGTTATCAGATGGGTTGTAGACGTGGTCTGTCAAGGTTGTAGTAGACATGCTTATGAAGGTCAACCTTTCATCGTTGGACTTATCAAGTTTTATCATTTTGTCACCAGAGACTCTTTAGTAGTCTTAGGGTTTGCAGATGACATAGTCCTGTTAAGCAAAGATACTGATAATATTCAGGGTCTGTGTGACACACTGAGTGGTGATTTGTAAATGTTTGGGATGCTCTTTTCAGCACCCGAAGGGAAATTTTTGCTTTAGGAATTGTCTGAATTAGTGCCTCGTCCAACGATTGGTAATCAAATGGCTGAGGGTGCTGATTACTTCATATATCTGAGAAGTCAGATCAGCCCTGATGGGCCAACGGCCGATGAAATCTCTTCATGGATACGAATGAGTTGTCTGGCTTTCATCAGCTTACGCCATCTGTGGCGCCGCCGTGATATCCAGTTATCTATTAAGGGTCAAGTATACTGCACAGCGGTTTGTTGTGTCCTACTATATAGGTGTGAAACATTGCTATTAAATGTAAAGAACGGAAGAAGGAAGGTTTCAGTTGTTTGGCTAGGGTTGCCTTCGCGTCATAGAACGTGTGTTGTGGTGTCACCATATCAGTCATGCAGAAGTCAGTTGTAGTTTTGCGGAGCACAGGAAAGTCAGTTGATGAGATTGCGAACTTTCATTGACTGAGGTGGCTGGGGCATGTATTACGCATACCTGGTCACCATCTGCCTCGTTGCACAGTTAGCCGAAGGAAGTTTAAGCTAGAGAAAGGTTAGGGTGGACTAGCCTAAAAAATGATTTCACTGCATGAAATCTTTGACTGTTAGTTTGTGCCCTGTAAGAGGATGTAGACCTATCGGTTGGTGTCTTTATGACAACAGAAACTAGTGGCTAGAGACTCTAGATGACATGGTTCAGAATCGATCTCACTAGCACAGATGCATCCACACATTATCTGAATCTTATTCATCATTCTGAATTTTAGTATCCTCCTTGCTCTCTCTTTACAACTTTTAGTGACCTTTTGCTACCTTCTTTGTGGTTTCTTTATTTGCGATCCTAGTGCATTCTCGCCTGATATGTTAATATGAGGTGTGAAAACTTGGGTCATTAAGAAGTGTATACAAGCTCTATGTTGATACTGTCTGTCTTTTACTGTTCACAGATTTTATCAACTGAAAAGCAAGACTTATATCTTCACTGGAACTTGATATTTCAGGTATACGTTCACTTGTGTACTGATCATCATGTTAAATAAGCAGTCAAATATTTTCCTCTTTTATCTACTTACATTTTTACAGCTCGTCAGTTACATTAATCGTTGACAATTTATGTATCAAAATTGCAATCGCTTCCAAATTTAGAATTGGACCGTTTAATTCTATCTTCAGAATTATCACGTCTTAGAATTTTAGCTATCATCAATATCTAAGTAAAAGTAGTCAGCGCTTCTCATGACTGACACTTTTCACATTTGTAGCTGCATCTAGGACTCCTTCGTTCGTTACCTTGATGCCACTTCGTTTACTTACTACAATGGCATACTTGTATCCCAAATTAGTGAAGCAGAAATTTAAGTGCATAATAATAACTAACATGTGATGATTATTTGCAATTCTTTTATCACTTGACTGTGAAGAAACTTTAGTGATCTTTAAGGCTTTCTCTAGTTTTATCAAGTTTCATTTTACACATTGTCATTAAACGTTCTAACCATATAAAACGAGACAGAAATATTACGGGCTATCTGTATTTGAACCAAACGATACCACTTTTTTCAATCTCTTCACGTTAAACACTTTATTGTATGTTCGTAAGCGAAGAAAAGTCAAACTTACCACGTAAAATCTACATATGCGGCTGAGCATAAATAATCATTATTTCAGTCTCATAGCCATTTGATGCTGCACTGAAAATCTGATACAGTTATATCATTAGATAAGTCAGTGAATAATGCCTACTTCTACTTGGCACTAAAGCTTTTCATTTACCTGTCCTTACTGAATCAATCCAGGATTACAGTTCCCGGAAAAGGACACAATGTTGTACCAGCGTGTCTAATTTTGACTCGGGATTCACTTTGTCTGCTTGTTAACGATAAACACATTAGTGAAAGAAGACTCGTTTTCCTTATTATTCCAATCTATAATTTGGGACCACAGTAGGCTAGTAAAAACATTCGTAACTTTTTTCACTCATTCTACTGCAAAATTTATGTAATCCTGAAGCATTTCATTCAGTAAATGACTATTTTCACCTTAAAATGACTAATTATCGAATAGGGTGTAGATATAACTGCTACGTTTACACCTATACCCTAAAAGTCAGGTTTAAATAGTTGGTGAACAGTCAAATACCATAATATCTCTAAATGCCTATTTATTGAAGTGGCCTCTTATGATCATCATTAGTAAGTAAGACTGCCCAACTTTTTATTGTGTCTGTTAGAAATGTGGACTGTGATATTCTACATCATTTATATGAATGTCGTTACCATATATGAAAGAAATATCCATTTGAAGACAGACAGTGGTGAACTGTTCGCTGATCTTAGCTTAAAACTCATGATACGTGGGAATCGTCCACTCTTCAGAGTTGTATTCAGGTTACAATGAGTTAATTACTTGCAACCTTTAATATCGTCTTACAATGTTTAATTAACATAGTTAGACAAGAAATGACCTCTATTAACAACTAGAAATTTAACTAAACTAAACCAGATCCTAAGAAACTAAAGAATTGTTATTCGTAATAATTCTTGTAATTTTTAACAAAACAGAATGAAAATAACTTGGAAAAATATACGCTGATGATGAATGCCAACTGTTGTTAGCTCTTTAAAAATCAGTGAGTGAAATGCTTCTGATTCTTTAAAGGAATGTCACTCGAATTCCCTATTAATTCGCAAAAGTAAGAAATACGCGTCTAAAGAGTTCTTTCTGACTGTACACAACCATCTAAAATAGTCTACTAATGAAACATTTGAAAGAAAATGATCACTCATA